CAAGTGTCTAGAACATTTTTATTTCTGTCAGGCCAATTACATCATCATACCTTGACTGAGAAGTTTGTGTGTCAACATTGCTGCCTGGAGCACATAATCATTCATTCACTCACTCATTCACTCACCTCTGAATGTTTATATGTGCCTGGCATTGTGCTGGGTGGGTACTAAATGAAAAGGGTAGAGGAGGGCTCTGCTTCAAAAGTACTGGCTGTGCAGTGAGGACCAGGCTCCTAGATCCCATGTAAATGTCAGCTGGGTATGATGGGTTACTTGTAATTCCAGCCTTGGAGGGCAGAGACAGCAGATCCCCAAGGCAAGCTGGCCATGAAGCCTAGCTCTACTGCTTACTGGAAAACTTTGGGTTCAACTGAGAGACCCTGACTTAAAGAATATACTGAGAGGATGAAAGAGGATTCTTATCATCAGAATCAGGCTTCACACACATGCACAAATGCATGCATGTACACACACACATGCACACACACTAACATCACACCATCACACATACAGGACACACACACATGCACTAACATTATACATACAGACACACACACATGCACTAACATCACACATACAGACATACAGACACACACATGCACTAACATAACACATACAGACACACACACATGCACTAACATCACACATACAGACACATGAAAAAGGTCTGAGGTGTTGGATCCAAGTGCCAGAGACCAGGCACTTGATCTCATTTGGGTTCTGCCTTAGGAGAGTTCCAGGTAAAATGGTAATGGCAACAGCTATCTCACACTAAGAGATACTCCATTACACGTTACATTATTCTCCAGCCATCCAAGACATCAGCTCCCACTGTCTGAGATGTCAGCTCACCTAGAGATGGGGAACTAAGGCTCCAAAAGCTTTGAGGAACCTTCCTGAAGTCACACAGCCATCATGTCTATCAGGCTGGAATTAATTTTGCCTCACTCAGCCTGTGCCGAGGTCTGTTGCCTGTGTATTAATCAAGAGACTGCATCTGGCTAAGTGGTCATTCCTCCAAGTACCAAGTGCCAGTCCCAGCCAGTGTGTCTGGAAAGTGGGTTGCCATCACCGGGGCCTCTGCTCTGGGAAAGTCAGCTCTGGCACTGGGGAGAGCCCAGCCCAGAGAGGCAGAGGACCCACCCGGGGCTTTGAAGAGCAGAACAGACTTGTGAACAGAGGCTTCACTTAGGCCTGGATTCCCCAGGCACTGTTCATCAGAACAGGGCATCTGAGGATAGCTCTCCTCCCATATCTTGCAGAAGGAGCTTGGCAGAGGGACTGTGCCTCCACACACTTGGTTTCCTGGCCTATGACGCCTCCTCCATCTGGCTCATTCATTCATCTGTTCATTCAAGAGAGGATTACTGAGCACCACCAACTCTCTGCCCTACAAGGAACACAAGGTGTGGGAACACAAAGGAGTACGGAACTGAAGGTGGATGAGCAGGAAGAATGATACATTTGGTCACAGTAGTGCAAGGACCATGGGGAACGCAGAGATCCTCCCTCAAGAAGCAGGAGTAGAGGAACATACATTTTCCAGTAGTTGGAGCTGAGCCTTGAAGGATGGGTAGTATTGAAAACATCAAATTGAAAACTATCGCCACTAGTTCGAACAGTGTGTGCAAAGGCCTAGAGGTAGCAATAAACCATGTCATCTAGAAAACCAGGGAGCAGTATGGGGACACACACTTGGGAATCAAGATGGATGACTGATGTATACATTGAGCTATATATGTGGTGTGTCACACTGATCACTGTTCAGCCCCTCTGGAGGCACCAGGAGAGATGGATTTAGGTCCCAGAGTTCCCAGGAGACTTTTGACAGTCATCCTCAAGGTACAGGCCTCACTAGGGCCACATTTCCCACTCTCTATGGCTGTGTCTGAGATCCTCTAATGCTCTGATAGTACATCTCTGGCTGGGTCAGCCAACAAGTCCAAGTCTCAGGCTAGAAAGCTCAGAGGGCATCCCATCACTTAAGAGAAAATTTTGGGGCTGGAGAAATGGTCCAGAGGTTAAGAGCACTGACTGCTCTTCCAGAGGGCGCAAGTTGAATTCCCAGCAACCACATGGTGGCTCACAGCCATCTATAATAGTGTCTGATGCCCTCTTTTGGCATGCAGGCAGACAGAACATTATTATTATGTATACATAATAAATAAATACATCTTTAAGAGAGAGAAAGAAATCCAGAGGGTGTGGTAGTACAGCCCTTTAATCTCAGCACTTGGGAGACAGAGGCATGAGGATCTGTGAGTCCAAGGCCAGACTAGTCTACATAGTGAGAGCTCTAGAACAGCCAGAACTATATTGAGAAACAAAACAAAATACAAAACACACACGCATGCACGCATAAACAGAGAGAACCTGGTGTGGTGGTGCATACCTTTAATCCCAGCACTCAGAACAGATCTTGGTGAGTTTGAGGGCTGCGTGGTCTATGTAGTGAGTTTCAGGCCAGCCAGGGCTAACACAGTGAGACCTTGTCTCAAAATAAATCAATTATAAAAACTTCTATACTCACATCACTGAGACCACACCAAATAAAGTCTCAATGGTAGAGTGCTGCTTTAATAAGTATGAGCCTTTCCCAGCCAATGGGAGGGGGAGGGGAATGATCACACAACTACATGTTGTAGTTAGAGCAGGATGGGGAAGACTTGCCATCCTATCAGCCCCTTTGTTCTCCATGGCACCTGGAACAGAACAAAAACTGGGAAAAAAAGTGGTTTAAAAACTGATATTCAGCTAGGTGTGGTGGCTTACACCGTTTGTTTTTGAGACAGGGTCTCATTATGCTGCCTTGGCTGGTCTGGAGCTTGCTAGGAAGACCAGGCTGCCCTTAAACTCAACCAGGGACTGCTGGCTCTTCCTCCTTGAATGCTGGGATTAAAGGTGCACACCACCATATAATCCAGGCATTTAGGAGGTTGAGACATGAAGATTTGCTGTCAGTTCTAGGCTGGTTCAACCCACTCCCAATTTTATTCTACCAGTAAGGAATCTGAAACCCGGACAAGAGATGAGGGCACCAGGTCACCCAATGATGGATGCCCAAAATCAGAGAAACCCTTTCCCTGGGTAGTAGGGCTGCCAGGATTCTGGGGTAGTCCCAAACATCTGACCCTGGCCAGGTGGCAGCAGGAGCCATACTAACTAGCCTGTGATGTCCTATCTCATCCTTTACTAGTGAAGGATAGACATTGGTCAAGTCCTCCTTCCAACACACACTGGAAACAAAGATGTCTCAAGGAAAACCACTCCCCGGCCTTTTCATTCCAGGGCTGGAAAGCATTGCTTGAGTGAGGGAAGGGGGATGCTGTACAAGTGTGTGTGCATGTGCCTTTGGTGTTGGCAGGTTGCCTGAGGAGAAAGGAGAGGGAGCCAGAGGCTGGGAGCAAGCCTGGAAAGTATCATTTGGTGTCTGTCCCTTTAATTCTAATCCTAGCTTTAGGAGAGGGCTCCAGCAGCTCCAGCACCTAAGCCCTGGCACCCATAGGTGAGACACGATTAGGAATATCTGCTGTACCATTTGGGTTCAGACCTTGTTACTTAGCGAGGCTGCCTTAAACCAACCCCAGAGCTTTCCCTGAAGCTCACAGTCCTCTCCAGGGGTGACATGCCACCTCGTCTTCTATGTGGGAAAAACACCAGCAGAAGCCTTGACTAGTTGTACAAGTGAAGTGACAGATGGGATATCTTTGTCTTGTTGGTCATTGTCAGCATGGTGGGCAAAACCAGCCCTGGCTTTCTCTAGCAGACCTTTGACCTTGTAAGGGTTCAGCATGGTGTGGCCGATGTACTCTCTGTTCCAGTAGCTCTGAGAAAGGGAGTCATTTTGAACACTGGCCATAGTACAGACTACTTGTGTAAGCTCAGAGTAGCTCTGGGATCTGTGCCCAGCTCAGGGCAGGGCTGAAGCTACCAGAGCTCAAGCCTCACCGTGGCAGAAGCTGGCCACATTTCTCCAGTCTTTCAAAAAGAAATCTAGGCTGCTTGTCCTCCTCTTCTACCCTCTGCCCTCTTCTCATCCCTGAATTTGGTGGGGTCATGGTCTATACCACAGGTTATAACACATAACACGGCAAAAGAGAAGCCCCCAACTACACACACACACACACACACACACACACACACACACCTCTACCAAATGCCCCACAGATACTTGCATCTGAGTGCCTTGGTGTACAGACATCGTGGGAGGCAGAGACAGACAGACGGATAGACAGGGGCTGCTCCTCTGGGATTTGGCTCATGCAGTTTTCAGACAAAGCATATGTTACTGCCTCCTCCCCTGACATTCCTGGAACAGCTTCCAGGCAGCAATCTCCACTCCAGGGGATCATGGGAGGTGGCTGCAGATGCTAAAGAGGACTATTTTCCTGGTCCCTTTCCTGTCCTTAGGGTTCAGGACAGGACAGGATCATGATGACAGCCTCACCCTCAGCAGGCCTGGCAAACACAACACAGGAGGGGTGACAGCTGAAAAAGCAGATCCACTTTATTTACAATGATCAGTAGATGACATAGATCTTTGGGTTTTGATGGCCTTGTGGAGATACCTAGGTAGGGACTCCCTTCCCCTCTGTCTAAATACCTGTTCCTCCCTCATCCTGCATGTAAGTACAGCTGTGGTCAGGACCTGATCGCCCTGAAAGCCTTGCCTGGTTGGGGCATGTGTCCTTACCTCCTTTGGAGGCTCCATCATGGTCCACGATGCAGGGTAGACCAGTTATCTGTCTGCAGAGAAGGGCTGAGTGGAGCCCTGAAAGAATGTCAAGGCAGAGGCTTGGAAAGCTGCCTAGTGCTGGGCTGTTAGACTGTTCCACTCTGTTCTTGGCACACAGACAGGGCCATCCCTGTCCCTTTTCACAGGCAGAGCAGTGTCAGGAGCCTTCCAAACGGTAAAGGGTTGGAAGGAATTCCTCCCTGTGTGTATGGTCCTCAGTGGGGCTTGTCACATTTCTCCCCACCTATTTCTTCCTTATCTGAAATCTCTCCAGGTTCTTACCACAGAGAATAAGAGACCAAGGGCAGGGCCATTACTCCTCCCTTAGACGGGGTCCTGTGTTCAAACCCACCCTCTAGGGTTTCCGCAAATATTTCCCCCTTTCTCCTGAGATGCTGTTTTGGAAGAGAGCAAGTTGGTCTGTAGGCAGAGACCTGGCATAAAGCATGGGGGCAATTCCACAGTGGAGGGCCAGGGAAACTCCCAGAAGGGGGTGTGTGGACTCCCCTCCACCCCTAGTAATCAAGGGCATATCCGGCTTCACCCAGAGCCAGGATGAGGAGCAAGGCGACCACTACATACACCGTGAGGGCGGCAGGCCGGGGACCAGGAAGGCTGAAGCGGGCAGAGCCGGGTTAAAGTCCTGGTCAGTCTGCTGGGCCGGGTCTAGGGCCCGAGTCCTAGCCCTGCGCTCTCAGCGTGCCTGGCCCGCCCGCTCCCTGGAGCCGGCCTTCCACTGACCCGGCTGCGCCGGTGGCGGAGGCGCCGGGGCGCCCCGTAGGCTGCACGTCCTCAGCTCCCGGGCCAGGCTCAGCACCTCGGACCGCTCGTGCTGCAGGGCTCCTCCCTCACTGTCCCGGGAGTCCTCCTCCTCCGCATCGTCCTCCTCGTCCTCCTCCTGGATGCTGCTGAGACGCGGAGCCCCACGGCCGCGCTCGCCCGGCGGAGGTCGGTAGGCACACTTGGCGTTAAGCAGGCGGCGCAATGGGGCGCGGGGTACCGAGGCGGCGGCGCCCCCCGCGCGGAGGTGCTGCTGGCGCACGTGGCGCGCGTCGCTCTGCCGCTGCAGCCGCTTGAAGTCGCTGAAGGCCGCCAGCGCGGTCTGGCGGAGCAGGCGGGCCAGGGAGCGCGCCTTGTGAGCCCGCGCCAGCAGCACGGCGTGGCAGCGCAGCACCACGGCCTTGTGGCGCGCCTGGTGGCGGTAGACCCAGGCGAAGACGCGCGGGTGGCGCCCGTCCGCCGCGCAGTAGGTGATGCGCGGCAGCAGGTAGGCGTGCGCCGGCCTGCGACCCCCCGTGCCCCCGGCGCCCCGCTCGCTCGGCTGCATGCGGATGCCGTGAGGGCCCAGCGTCAGTTTCATCTTCGTGCCCCCTCCCGGCCCGCAGCGAGCCCAGATCCTGCCCACGGCGTCGTCGGTGCAGCCGTCGCCCTTGGCGTGCAGAGTGACAGCGTTGCCCAGGTACCACACGGTGTAGGTGGGGTCCTCCTTGTTAAGCTCTACTTTCTGGCGCCGGCTGCGGAACACGCGGCCCAGACGCTCCAGGGGCCAGTCCGGTAGCAGGTCCGGGCAGGAGCGCAGGAAGCTGGAGAGCAGCGACGTGTAAGCGAGCCCGGGGCTCAGGCTCTTCGCCTTGCGCTTGGCCTCGTCCTCCACCAGCACGAATTTGTTCCGTCTCCAGGGCAGCATCGCGGCGGCCCAGAGGGCTGGGAGCGTGGGGAGCTCACCCTGGGGAGGCCAAGGCGCTCAGAAGTCCACCGCCCAGGACTCACGACAAGCTGGGCGGAGGCCGGAGATAGTCGTTGTGTGATGCCCGGTGTCCGGCAGGGCTGGGTTCGCAGATGCTCGGTGCCCAGTTGGGCTGGCCGCGAGATGCCCGTGTGGCGGCTGGTCGGCCCGGAACAGCTTACCCCAGGAATGACTCCAGCCGTCTGGGAAGCAAGGAGGGACAGGAGTCTAGAGCAATGGATGTTCCCCAGGTCCGAATATGGGTGGGGAATGCCACGGTAACCGGCGGCAGGGACGTCTCTGGAGCCGGGGCTGGTGGTAGCTGGATGAGGTGGACCTAGACCACGGCTGCGGTGGGAACTCCTTCAGGCGTTGCGGCTCCACCTCCCTGGGCTGCCTACATCACCGGGCGGGACCGCTAGCTCTCTAGTCCCCTCCCTTTCTTCTCCCCCCCCCCCCCACGCATGCAGACTCGAGCTTCCCAAGACCCAGCAACTGGCGCGCTGGAACTGTATTGAGCTTTATCTTTGGAAGGATGAAGAGTAGAGGGGCAGCTAAGGAGCTGGAATCCCCGAAAACACTGCGGAGGGATTCACGGATGCAGATTCCTCCAGCCTCACTCGTGGGCTCCAGGCTCCCAGGGAGAGCCCCTCCTTTTTCTAGGAATCCTTCCTGCTGCCCCTCATCCACAGAGCCTACCTACCCCCATCTCTGAGACCAGAGATTTGGGGGTGGGTTCCTGCTGGGGCCGGTCTGGTGCCCTTTGCTTCTTCTCTACACAGCACAAAGGCAGCCGAGGTGGCCGCGCAGTGCAGTGGAAAAGTACTGTCGTTGGTGAAGCTTTCTCCCAGGTTCCTCCAAGGTCGTGGGCCAGGCTGCTTCCCCTGAGCCGAGGGACTGGTCATACCGCAACACCAGCGGCTGGTGGTCAGGACAGAAGCGAGGAGAAGAGTTTGGGGGATGGGGAGAGGTTCCCAGAGCAGATCTGAGTCTGTGTGAATTGCAGCAGCAAATCTCTTCCCTTGGTCAAAGTGCAGCCCCCAGGCTGTCTGAAGATTAAACAGACAATGCCCTATTTGCAGAGTTGCTTTCTTAGTTCCTAGGTGTTTAGCATTCACTATCTCTTCAAATCCTCCAGATAGACAGTCCAGGGTCACAAGGCTGGAAGGAGATGGGTCCATTTAGACCCCATTAACACCAGAGCTGGCCCTCCACCTAACCCCTTCCCTCTGACCTTTGTCTCTCTGCTACATAGAATCCAGGCACTCAGCTCCATCCCCTGGGGAGTAACTGGTTTTTACTGGGGAGGTGGTCTAGAATACTGAAAAACAGCCCTACTGGCCAAAACAGCTTTCTCTGAGTTAGGCTACAGGCTCCCAGAATTCCTGGACTGCCCTCACGTGGGCCCATTGCCTTAAGGCTCCCCACTGCCAGCACAAGCTCTTTCATTGGGTCCCCAGGATTTGTCATATGGAGGTACCTGCCAGGTCAAGAAAGGGCTCCGGGCTGATCTTGCGGAGTTCAAAACCAAGTCAAATTCCATGACAAGGCTGTGTGCTCATTTGGGGATAACAAGTAGGAATAGTGGGTGAGTGGCTTCAGAATCCCCAGAAGAATAAAAATCACACACACACACACACACACACACACACACGGCGTGGTGGTGCACATCTGTATTCCTATCACTGTGGAGACAGAGGCGGAGGCAGGCCCATCCATCTCTGTGGGTTCAAGGCCAGCGTGGTGTACATAGTGAGAGCTGCCTCAGAGAGGGGGTGTGGTGGGAGGAAGAAGAAAAGAAAAAAGGATGCCCCAAGTATCCTCTGCCTTTTGTCCAGCAGCTCCGCTATCAGAGAATTTAAGACAGGCTGTACCTGGAGAGCCCCCATTCCATTCCCAGCCAGGCTCACTTTCCTTCATGCTGGGGGTGTGGCTTCTGTTCCCACCACCTTTAAAACATATTCTAGGATGTGCCTATTTGGGACCATGCGAAAACACAGCAGATGCAATGCTGAAAAAAAATGAAAAGGTTTTAATGATGTGTATTTGTGTGTGTGCGTGTGTGCGTGTGCATGCGTGCGTGTGTACGTGTGCGTGTGCGTGCGTGTGTGTGTGTGTGTGTGTGTGTGTGTGTGTGTCCGTTCTTGGATGCAGTGCTCCTGGAAGTCTAAGGAGGGCCTCAGATCCCCTGGAGCTTGAGTTACAGCTGATTCTAAGTGACCCAAGGTTGGAGATGGGAACTAAATCTGAGTCTTCTGCCAGAGCAATGTGTGTTCTTAACCACTGAGCTATCTTTCCATATAGCAAGTAGCATTTGGCATTGCCAGTTATTCTATTAATACTTGCCAATCCCATCCACATGGAGAGCAACTCATCCAGCCTCCTGGGCCTGGATTCTCCCTACTAGGTTCCCATCTCCCCAGGCTCCTCCTTAGATGCCTTATAATGCTCAGTCACCTAGAACAAACTGCAATACTCCCTCTAAGCTCATGGCTTTGGAAGAGTCAACTGCCTCAGACACAACCTCATGTCCATTCACATAGAAGGAGAAGCCATTAACGAAAGCAGAGCTTGGGGCTTCCAGAAGCTTCTGTTTCAGGGAAGAGCTCCCAGCCTCAGACCTCATCACCATAGCTTCATAGACAGGTATGTAGTCAGCCCTGTCCTGTAAGGAGTTAGGTTTTTCTGCCCGCCGCTGGTCTTGTCCCGCTGCCGCGCCAGCCCCATTAACACACCGAGACCTTGTATTTGATATAATGCTGTTGGTCAGGTACTAGTTTCTTATCGGCTAGCTCTGTCTTAATTATTAACCCATTTCTGTTAATCTAAATATTTCCACGTGGTTATCTTACCAGAGAGCCGGCTGATGTCCTCCTCTCTCCAGACTCTCCATCCTGACTCTCCTTACTACTTCCTCTCTCCTCCTTGTCTCCTAGTCCCGCCTATCTTGCTTTCCTATTGGCCAACAGTGCTTTATTCATTAACCAGTATGAGAAACATATACAGAATGACATCTCCCATCACCTCCTCTTTTCTGTCTAAAATAAAAAGAATGGTTTTAATCTTAACATAGCAAAATATGTCACACAACAGTTATCAAATAAGAATCACAGTTAACAGTATTAAGTCCATTAACATTTAGTAAGATTTAAGAAAATATTTCATCATTTATCCTATCTTTGTGTGTCTAAAGTCTATGTAACTTATCTTTAATCCTAACTAAGGAAAACTATAACCATAACTATCTATCTTCAACTCCATCAAAGACCACAGAAGGATAATATATAAACTCTAGAAATGACAGAGACAACTCACTGCCTAGTCAGTCACCCGAAGTTCTTCTGTAATCTTTCATCTTCAGCCCATAGGCCATAGTGTGTCTGGCAGACTCCTCAGCAAAGCAGGAAACTTTAAACTGTCATCTTGTATTGGCAGTTTGTCAGTCATTTTTCTCTGTGTCTGGCAGACTCTTCCATGAAGCAGGAACTCTGTAGCAATGTTTATCTTGTATCAGCAATCAGTTTCCTGTGGGTCCTGCATGTCCGGTTTATACAGCATAAAGTCAAATAGTCCAGACAAGAGCAGTATCTTGTCCAAATGGCTAGTCTTGCCATATTGAAAGCAAACTCCATTATGAGTTTCTTTAATGTCCTCTATTTTCCTTTCTGACGCAGGTGGTGTTGCCAGGAGCAGTTATGTCTCACTGTCAAGAAAAACCCTAAACCATTTTAAATGCCATATTCTGTAGGTCTTTGAAAGGTTTGAAGAATGCCTGTCTATCTCAAATACATCTCTGTGTATCTTGAAAAACCTAACTAACTTAACTCTAAGCTTTGACTATCATAGGTAATTATCTATAATCTGTACTACATTATACATTACATTTCTAAATGAGCTATATAAACACAATACCTAAACAAAAGGAGAAATATACGTATCATAAAATTGACCTTAAATTTGTATCAATAAATCCATTCTAACACAAAGTATTCATATCTATACCACAATTCTCTTTTTACCTTTAAAAAGAATTGGCTGTGATCATTAACCATTTAAACCATCCCCGTTTAAATGAAAACAAACATTTATAAACAATATTTGGGAATTTGGGCGTCGTTCTTTCCAAACTACTTCCTGCTGATAAGGGCGCTGTCATGGGGGATTCTAAGAAGATGCAGAAATCCTGGCTGTAGTCTGCAAGGCTGCTATGTCCCAACTGGTTTGAATGTAGGATCACCTGCAACTCTGTTTCAGGGGGTCTGGCTTGATCAAACCACATTAGTCTGGAAAGAATCCATAGCTTTTCCTTTTCTGTGGAAACAAAACTAGAAATCCTTTTCCCCAGTAACTTGTCCTTAGATTAAATTTTGAAGTCAAAGCATTTTAAAAATATATAAATTGAATTAATCCAGCAGCATTTCCTTTAACAGTTGTTGTTTCCTCAGCAGTTAAACAATAAAAGACAATATAATACCATACAGTATGCAGATTCTTTCCATCTGTGGAGATAGGGTTTCTCTGTGTAACTCTTATCTGTCCTGGAACTCACTCTGCATACCAGGTTTACTTTGCAATCACAGAGATCTGTTTGCCTCTGTCTCCTGAATGCTGGGATTAAAGGCATGTGCCACCATGCCCAGCTCCTCGCTGTATTTTTAAAACCATTTTATTTCTTTTCTCTCCCAAGCCTACGTATATTTTAGAACACACTGTAAACCTTTAGCGCTTTTTCTTAATGTGAATCTGTCTTTACTGTAAATCTTTATCTTTTTCTGGCCACGAGTCTTTTATCTGGTAAACAACAACATAGCTGCTGGTCTATCCAAGATGGCAGGTATTTTACCACCAGAACTGAGAGCTGTGCTCACTGCCTTGGTCTCTATGCTGCCATCCAGCAGCATGCTGCCGGCTTGGTTACTATCATTGCCAGCTCTCGTACACACCAATAAATTGTTAGCAGTGCTTCTTAAAAGCCATGCAGTTTTTTGCTGCTTATGCTGAGTCAGGAAACTTCCCTTAAAGGAGCAGCGCAAATATCTGCTTGTCTCTCGCAAAGCAGAGTCCAACCAAGAAAAATGTTGCTACCAAAAAACCTTGCTTGTCTCTGTTCT